TCTGATTTTCACTTTTTTTTTTTCACTTCATCTTCATGGAATATTTTGTTGAGAATATTCTGAAGTGCAACCTTTCTGGTAGCAAATTCTTTTAATTTTTGTTTATCATGGAAGGTTTTTATTTCATCTTCAAATCTGAAGCTTAATTTTGCTGGATATTGGATTCTTGGTTGGCATCCATTGTCTTTCAGAATTCGGAATATGTTATTCCAGGACCTCCTAGCTTTGAGGACCTGGGTTGAGAAATCAGCTGAGATCCATATTGGTTTCCCTCTATATGTAATCTGATGTTTTTATCTTGCAGCCTTTAAAATTCTATTCTTATTCTGTATGCTAGGCATTTTCGTTATAATGTGCCTTGATGTGGTTCTGTTGTATTTTTGCACAACTGGGTTCCTGTAGGCCTCTTGTATTTGATTTCCCATTTCATTTATTAGATTTGGGAGATTTTCTGATATTATTTCATTGAAAAGATTGTGCAGTTCTTTGATTTGTATATCTGGGCCTTCATCTATCCTGATAAATCCTAAATTTGGTAGTTTCATGTTATCCCATAATTTTTAGAAAGTCTGTTCGTGGTTTCTTAACATCTTCTCTCTGTAGTCAATTTTATTTTCAGGATTATATATTTTGTCTTCATTGCCTGAGGTTAGTCTTCCAAGTGATCTAGTCTGTTAGTGATGCATTCTGTTGAATTCCTAATTTAGTTTATTGTTTGCTTCATTTCAAGAATTTCTGTTTTTTTTTTCCCCAGAATCTCTCTCTCTTTATTGAAGTGATCTTTTGCTACCTGTGTTTGCTCTCTTACACCCATCCTTTACTTTGCAGATCAATTTAACTATGTACATTCTAAACTCCTGCTCTGACATTTCTTCCAATGTGGTGTTGATGGATTCTGTTACTGGAGTTCCTTGGTTTGCTTGAGGCGATTTGTTCCCTTGCTTTTTCATGTTGTTTGTGTGTCTACCCATCTAATAGTTTAGATCTGAGGCAGTAGAGTTTATTCCCTATGGACTTATAGTGTCCCTGCAGGTTTTCAGTACCTCACTGTTTAGGGGGAGACAAATAATAACAACCACCAATGCAAACAATATACAGCATTAAACCAAATAGTTCCTACTATGACGCCTACAATGTTAATTATTGCAATAAACAGAAACAATATGATCAGTTATTGCCTATAATAAAAACAAAAAGTTTGCAAAAGGGTTTACATTTTCAAATGGTGGACATTTTTACTTATATATTTTAAATTTTTACATATATATTCACATTTGTATTCATATATGTGGATAAAAATGTGGATAAAAATGGTGGAGAGAGAACAGAAGTGATATAAGATGTGATGATTATGAGGGAAGAGGAGAGAAGATAGAAGTAAAAGATTAAAGGAAGACTGAAAGAGAACAATAGAGATTGGCTGTTAGAAGAAAAGAGAGAATCAAGGAAAACAGGAGAAAAAATATATATAAAGTTAAAATTTAAATTAAAAAAATTAAAAATAAAGGAATATAAAATAAAACTAAAATACACTAATCAAACATCCTAGTTCCCAAAAAACAAAAACATAAAAAAAAACTGCTTAAAAAAAACAAATAAAAAAGAAAAAAAAAAAAAAAAAAAAAAAAAAGGAAACTATATAAATGTTCATGTACCATTGAAATCACAATTAAACAGTGAAAAGAATTTTTTAAAAAAAGTAATAAAAGAATCTTGATGAAAAGTTTAAAGAATTCTTTCCTAAGAGAGAAGCAGATACCAAGAAATTCAGAGGAGAAACTGAGGAAATTCAGAGGAGGGAGAGAGCTCTTTCAGACTAGGTGGGGGGTAGGTATGGGAATTTGTGGTGGAGGGGCTGTCTGAGCCCTCAGGCCAGTTCTGCACAGGCTGCACAGGTCAGCAGCCAAAGTTGCCTCCATTTCCTCCAGTTTTCAGATGGAGCCTACTGTGGAGCAACCTGGGTTTCCCTGCTGGGAAGCCCTGTAAGAGGTGCTACCCAGGGGGGTGGGGTTTCCAGGCCTGGCCCCAAACTGCCTTGAGTTGGAGTGCAGCCCTGCCACTATCCTGTGGGCTTTGCACAGCTCAGAAACATGCTCCCTGTATCTGTTGCCACTGCTGTTAAGATGTGAGTATCATTTATGCCTGTTGTACCTGATCGCCATGGGGATTACATGAAATGGCGTATGCAAAGGGCTGAGCAGAGGAAGGCTCCAGTGCATATACCGTATCCACTGTCTTCAATTGTGATACAAAATGACTGTGCCCATGGTTGTTAGTGGTGGATGAGGTGCTTAGGGCCCTCTCCTCATGGATTCTGACACAGATAGATATAGAATTATTAGGCAAGTATTACAAAGTAGATGAAGAAATAATGGTGTTTTTTGAATGAGCTCCTTACTATTATTTTTGCTCATCTAACAAAACATGATTCAAAGCACCGATGGTGATGTCAGCTAACTGACCCATCTGAGCCCAGCTTCATTTCCTGACACCCACTCAGGCTTCTGGAATAAAGGCCCCAGCCTCCAGTCCCTCCAGGCTGAGTGTTGCTGCTGAGAACAGGCCTGACAGTTCTGAAGTAGGCTTTTGTTCATTACTCAGCCTGACATTCTGCAGAAATACAGGCCTTTCTTCTGACTTTCCAGCATCCTTGACTTTATTACTGTGTCACATCATCATCGGGGCAGAGTATGGCGAAACTGAGTCAGAATTAGAAAATAATGTTTTACCAATAAGTTATTATAGTTTATTTTTACAAGTGTTTTTGAACTTAAAGTATGTTCTGGGCACTTAACCCATTCAGAACCTTCAATGGTATGCTGTTATTCTCATCTTACATTGTCAGCCAAGGCATAAAGACATTGAACTACTTGCCCAGCTAGAGGAGGTCCAGGGACTAGGAGGAACTCAGCTCTTTGGGGGCTGCTAACTGCTGCTCCCAGGGGTTTTGCAGGCTGGTGGTTTTGTTCCACCACAGTCCACCACCTTGTTCCAAAGCCTTCAGATTGGAAAGCACCCTCCTAATAGAGCCTGTTTGCTTGGACCTTTCCTGATAATCATCAAGGTTTTCTGGGAAATAATTAAAATTCTTATTAAGTTACAAAGTGCCATAGCCTTGCCCCTGCTGATAAAGAGCTGCTTTCTCAGTGGAGTTCAAGTCCTAACCCCCGCCCCCATCCAAATAGCATCAGGGGCGCTTTACCACTGAGATCTGTCCCTTTGGGGTGAAGCAGTTGCAGCCAGACTTGCCTTAGGCCACTCATTGTTTTGGTAGCAAAACAAGTAAGTGCCCCGTCTGACCTGGTGGCCTGAAGTGTTTCCTTTACCAGGCTGGATAGTTATTTGGAGAAATAGCATCTGCAGGTGTGGGGCATGTGTTCGGACTTAGCCAGGAATGAAGAATCTCCATTTTTAATGTCAACTTTTTGGTTTTGAGTTATGCAACCTTGAGCATGTCATTTAGCTTCACTGTATTTCATTTTCCTGTCCAGGAAACAGAGATGAATAATGCAGCCCCTGGGCCCCTAATTCTCCTGGGGGTGTTATGAGAATCAGATGAGATTATGTGCACAAATGAGAGCTAACATTGGTTTAGTACTAAGTATGTACCAACTACTTTCATTCCCCTTACATGTATTTTTTAATTCTCACAATCCTAGAATGGCAGCACAGTTAAGAGAACAGAAAATTTAGGGTGGTAAGTCACAAAGGACCCAGGTACACATCTCTGGCTCCCCTGAATAGTGCTCAGGATCATTGCTTCTCCTTCACCTGAGAAAGAGGGTTTACATATCTCCACTGTCCAGCACTCGGCAAATGCAAGGCATTATTGTTATCTCTATCCACTGTTGTTTCTTGTTGATCCCCAAGGACATTTGAGTTCCCTTACTTGTTCTTGTTTATCTTATCTAGTAGTTTGTGCTGCCTCTTTTTATTTCCCCTGGGACTCATTCAGTGAATTCTTTTTTCCCTCCCCTTTGGTACTGGGGATTGAACCCAGGGGCGCTTTACCACTGAGCTATATCCCTAGTCCTTTTTAATTTTTTTATTTTGAAACAAGGTCTTCTGAATTTCCAAGTCTAGCCTAGAACTTGGAATACATCTGCCCCAGCCTCCGGACTGGCTTCACTCAGTGATTTCTTTAGGCTTTTCTCCTTGAGAAACCTGTCAGCTTCGTCATGAGGCGGCTTAAAGGAGCCAGCAGAGCCAGGCAACTGGGCTGGTTAGCTTGTGATTAAAATGCCTTGGGATGCATTTGTTGATAAGCTCAGCAGTCACTGGTTTTCAGTCATGGAATTTCAAAAGGGGAGGACACCCATGCCATCATTTTACTGATGAGGAAACTGAGGTCCAGATAGGGAGAGGATTTGCTTGAGGCCATTCATACAGCTGGGGGAGTGGCCAAGACCCAAGTGAGTTCCCCAGGCAAACACCAGTGCTTTCCTAGAGACAAGTCATCTTGCTACAAAGGGACAAACACATACACTGTGCCCATTATGTACCTGGGAAACTCTGGAGATCCAAATTCAGACTTGAAGAATTGAGCAGAGAGCTGTAGCGTGGGTGAAGTCTTCCTCCCTGACACATTATACACCAAAGAAATGAATTAAAACACAACCCAGCAGACTAGATGGCCCCCAGTCGGCAGTGACTAACAAGTAGAGGATTTAAGCTAGGAGCCCCAGCTAACAAGCAGAGGATTTAAGCTAGGAGCCCCGGCTGAGTGAGTAGATAGGAAGCCTTTTGTCACTAGGGCCTCAGGGTTGAAAATTGGAGGAAGGATGTTAGGCCAATGTGACCGGCCTGGGATGCGGTTACAGCCCCCCAGTTCATTGTCCAGAGGAAATGGATCTCCCCCGTGGACTGAGAGGTGGAAACTGAGCAAGTGAGTGAAGTGGTTGACATCATCAGCCTGAGCATTAGATTACAGCAAATGGGGACTTAGTTGGCCGGAGACGTGGGAAACACCCACTAAAACCTCGAAGTGCTTTTTCATTTAGGGAGAGGGCCGAGAGACTTCTGCCTGAACCTTGGGTCTGGATTGCTCCTTCTCAAACCTGGTTTCTTAATTCCACCTTCACTTCTGACCGGGAACCTCTGCAGTTTGAGGAACTTTGCTCCCGTAAGTAGAGTTGTACTCCCTCCTCACCCCCACCTCCAGGGAGAAGTAGAGCTCTCTGGAGAGCTTGCTTTCTAGCTCATTGGTCACAAAGGGTCTATTTTTATGTTCTGATATATGTGAGCTTGCTCTGAAAATTGCAGCTTTCTCTGAAACTGCCTGGGGCTGGAGTCAGAGCCCCGAGCCTCCCAGGGCTCTGTTTAGATCCTGGCTTACTTTTTCACGCAAAGAACTTTTGACGTATCCCTAGCTTTAAAAGCAGCAGTTTGCCCCAAATACAGGGGACAAAGTAAATCCTGAAACTAGTATTTGAAAACTTTATTTTTTTTTCTGATTACAAAGGTTTTACAAAACATTGTACACCTTCTAGAAATAAATGTCTCTGAAAGTGAAAATTCCCTAGACTCTTCCCCCCACAAATATAAAATTAATAAGTTAAATTTTATACACAGACATGGTTAGACTTCTGAAGTCATCACTTACCTCATAAACTTTGGGGGCCATGGGGAGACTCCCAAGATTGAAAGGAGGGGAAATCTTTAACTTTGGCTTTGTGATTTTTTAAAAAATATTTTTTAGTTGTTGATAGATCTTTATGTTTTTATTTATTTATACGTGGTGCTGAGAATCAAACCCAGTGCCTCACACATACCAGGCAAGTGCACTACCACTGAGCCACAGCCTCAGCCCCCTTTGTGATCTTTTTATTGCTTCCTTTTTTAAATTTGCTGTTTATGCTTAGAAAATAAACAGAACATGTAAGCCCTTAGGCGTTCCATTTGTTGGTATCTGTTTTTTGGGTTTTAAACTAAGCAAGCAACTCTGTGCAAACAGGAAGGGAAGGAGCCCTATAGCCCCAAGCTCCCTTCCTGGTTAGGCCCCTGAGCTGAGGGTTTTCAATCTGTCCACACTGGCCTCTGGCAGAGACCACAAAGGCCAGGTACTGTCCTTCAGGCATCACCTCCTCACCATGACCTGAGGAAGAAGGATGACTAGATTATTCAGTCTCAGGATCAATCCTAGGGAGCTCGGTGGCTTGAGATGGCTTATAGGGTGCTGTGGCCCCTCTCCCCTGTTAGATTAAATATACTTAACAAGCTGTACTTAAAGGGGAAGAATGTCAGCTTTGAATAATAAAAATAAGGGCTGTGGGCATAGGTTGGTGGTAGGGCAATTGCCTAGCATGAGCCAGGACCCTGGTTTGATCCCCATCACCATTAAAAAGAGGAGGGAGAGCAAGCAGGCAGGCAGGCACATATTAGAACTGTGTGACCTTGGGCAAGCATTTTGCACTCTCTGGACCTCAGTTTCCTCATGTGCCAAATGAGGGGACAGAACTAGATCTTGATATTTTCAAATGAAGCTTAGAATGAACCATCCATATTTCTTTCCCTTTGAGGCAGATCCTTATGGCCTTAGAAGCAAAGTGCCCTAGGTTTTCAGTAATCCAGAATGACTAAAATTGACTCCTGTAGGACAATTAGAGGAAACAAAACAGGCAGTATGAAGTTACTACTGAGTTTTGATGATTTTATTCAGGTTTGGTGTTCCCAAATAAAGAGGGGGAAAAGTTTCATTGGTGTGTGTGTGTGTGTGTGTGTGTGTGTGTGTTGGAAAAGCATACTTTAACAGCACTGACTTAAGACAGCATAAAACAAGAAACTAAGGCCACTCTCATCTGTCCACACCTGGTCTCTGGCAGAGACCACAAAGGCCAGGTTCTGTCCTTCAGGCATCACCTCCTCACCATGACCTGAGGAAGAAGGATGACCAGATTATTCAGTCTCAAGATCAATCCTAGGGAGCTGGGTGGCTCCAGCCTCTGGCTACCCAGGCCCATGGCTGGTTCCATGGTAGCAACAGTCTACCTTCAGTGGGCTTTGTTACTGGGGAAGACCACAGCTCTAAGATATGCCTGCCACAGGGCCATGAGCCCCCTCCTGCTAACCAAGACCTTATTGGAACAAATAGTTTCTAAATAACACATCCTCCCAAGAGTAGGGTCTGGGAAGGCCTTAAAGATAAAGAGCCCTGGCTTGGGAGTAGCTCAGTAGTTGAGTGCAGGCCCAGCATGAGCAGGCCCTGGGTTCCATCCCCAATACCACAAAACAAACAAACCAAAAAACCCAACAAGATAAAAGAGTCCTTAAATCCACAAGACCTGGAACCCGGAGAGTCAAAGTCCAAGACGACCTTTACTTTTGTTTGTCCTTCCCCAGCAGCATGGGGCATGTCTAGGTTAAAGGAGGGGACAGGGGGCAAACCAAAGTTCCCCTTCTTCTCTCTTACCAAACTAAAATCTAGGATTAAGATCTAGGATTAAATCTAGGGTTAGATTAAAACTGAGCTATGTCTCCTTTGCACCCATGTGCCAGGCTTTCTACTGGGCACTGGCCTCCTGGTGAGCAGTGAGTTTGGGGCATCTTGGGAGTGGAGACAGGTTGTAAAAGGGACCACTGTGTCCTGAGCTCTTACTTGACTTTTATACCTTTGTGAAAACTGTCACACATAAGACTGGGCATCTTGCATTTGCTGACTCCTTTAAATCTTAATAGTAGTGATGTGAGACAGAGATTGGCTCCATCTGACATGAAAAGAGGCGCACAGAGACGAAGCGCTGTCTACGGTATGGCAGCTGATAGAGCTGGAGAACCAAATGAGAACTGGCTGTCCCTGCCACCCTTGAACTTTCCACCACACTGTGCTGCCTTGTCTCCATCAGCTCCCTGGATCTCAGCTTTTCTCTGTTACAGGAAGAAGGTTGAACTTGGTTTAGGTCTTATTTCAGCTGCCTCAGGCGGGTGTGTTCCCGGCTCATCACCTGTGTGTCATTCCCGCCTGGTCTGTTGTGCTGCCTGACTTGCTGCGGGCCTCTGAACCCTGTGGGTCTTTGTGACCCTGGGATTGACTGGTGGCAGTATGTGTCAGTTTCTTCAATGAAGGTTCTCCTGGGTAGGAGAACAAGTAGAAGCTCTGTCCTCATCACCTCCTGCCTTACAGATCCTGGACAGCTCTGCTTGCCACACAGAACCTGCCTCTCTTGGTAAAGTCGGGGGGTCACAGTCATACCTGCTCCAAAGTATACTGTGTGGATGAAATGGAATAAAGCTCACAAATTAGCACTTAGTTCTAAGGTACAAAAATTCATACTCTGAACTATTGTTTTACAACGTCCAGAAAGAGTGCTAGCAGTGTACGCATGTGTCTGTGCTCAGTCAGAAGGTGGCATTTCTGTGAGGAACCTGTGGTTATCCCCAAACTCACCAATTCTAAAACCCCTGTGAGGGTGCCTGGAGATGCTGTGTTGGCTCTTCATATCCAGCCTCTGGGCTGCTTACTGTCACCTACTCCGATGATGCTGAATTTCAAATCAGTCAGCCAGCACAGAGGTCGAAAGCAGAAGTGGGTACTGTTCTCCTAGACCAGCGGGCCCTGGCCCAGCCACCTAAGGAAGAGGCTGGTAACAGGTGCTGTGGGTGGCAAGAAATTGAGTTCATGCAGTGAACCCCAAGTTGAGCTCACAAGAGGTCAGAAGTGATTCCTGAGTGCAGACAGTAGAAAATCTGGAGTTTTCTGGAAGCACTTTATTAACCCTGACCTGAGGCCCAGCTCACTGTCTCCTGCAGATCCCTCAGCAAGGCTTTCACTCCTTCAAGAAGGGGGTGTCTTTGGAAGTCGCAGTCAGCTATGATTCTAAACTGCAGACTAGATAATCTGCTCTTACTGGAGGAAGCCAGATTTCCCAAACGTAAAAGCAGCCTTATTAATCTTCCAAGAAATGACTGGCTTCCACTCTGCTCTTCAGGACTGAATGATGGACCTTCAGGGCACAAAAGACATGAAGTATCTGGTGGTTAATGCAGTCTTATGTCCTAGGGTCTGGGGTTGGTTATGTTTAGTACTTCATAGGTGGTTGGTACTTCATAGGTGTGGCATGAAGTGTCTTGAGGGCTTCCTAGTACTAAGCCCTGGGCTAGGGGAGCAAGGTGATTACAGATGCAGCCTCTCATCCGTGCATCAGGAAGACAGGTGGCGAGTGAACCCCAATGTGAAAAGTAGCACAGAAGAAATATGCAGAGGGGCTACAGAATGCCAGACAGTGGCTCACATCTGGCAGAGCCTGGTCTTAAGCTGGGTCATTGCTTCCACACTCCTCCAGTTCCTGGAGCTCGGAGATTTGCCCTTGTTTGCATTGGGAATGACTGCAAGCTACTGCAGCAGCAGAAAGTGCCCACTTCTAAACACCTTCCTGTCCCCCATGCTTCAGAGGAATGGAAGGAACTGTTCCTCAAAAAATGCAAGGCCCCCATCTGGGAGGGTCCTGAATTCAGAATGCCTAACCATGGCAAGGAAACATAGGAACGGGTGATTTTGGTAGTCTAAAATCCCTGCTGGGTTTTCTGTTGGTTTGTTTTTATAACACTTATTGTTGTTTTTCCTGATTATAAAATTAGAACATACTCAAGGAAGGAAAGCTAGACAGTACAGAAAAACATACTTAAAATAAATCACCACTCAGTAATTTCACTTCTCTGGTTTCTGAATAAGGGCCCGCCTCCCGTCCCCTCACCCACACACTACTGCTACATTTCAAGTTTAGCTCTAATTTTAATTTCTCCATGGGCAGAGTCTTATATGTATTTGCATATCCCCAAGGTGCTCATGTTCTGTGCTGCGGTCCACTGGGCAAGAAAAAAATGCCATCTGTGATTGGTTAGAGGCTGCAGCCTCCACTTGTACTTCACTGCAGTGTGTGAGTTCATCTGCTGTTAAGAAGGGGGTGCAGCTTAATGGTAGCTACATGTAATGTAGCTTAATGCCTTTGTCTAGCATGTACAAGGTCCTGGGTTCAGTCTCCAGAACTACAAAACAAACAAGAAACCTTGTGCTTTAGGGCTTATGTAAGGTGTGCATTATCAAGGTAAATAAGACTTCTAAGTTGCTCACAGTCTGATAGAAAAAAGAAGACTCTTAACACAAGTGATAATGTGCCCCAGTAGAGGCACTGAGAACTTGGAGAGCCTGCTAAAGCCAAGAAGCATCGCATTTGAGCCGGGCCTTCAGTTTACTTGACTGAATTTTTCATGTAGTCAGCCAGTATCAATTGAGTACCTGACATGTGCCAGGGTATGGGCAAGATGATAGGTGGATGGTGTGAAATAAAATAGGCCTGGTCCTTCATGACCCCTCCCTACGTGATGTTCACTAGGACCAATGGCCATGTTAGGACCCATAAACAGGGTGACAGAGGACTCATAAATAAGGTGTGGCTAAGGGGCTTCCTGGAGGATGTAGTGCTTAAACATGTGGAGTAGGCAGTGATGCCAGGAGCTAAGGTGGGAGGGGGGGTGTGGCATGAGGAAGAATGACACAGCAGGGAGAGGGAGGCAGGTGTGATGGGCTCAAGCCAGAGAGGGGAGGGGAGCAAGGTGGATGAGGGTCGGGCAGGCTGAGGGTAGGCAAGGCCCTCAGACAGACATGGGCATCGCGGAGCGGAGGAGGCGCCTGCTGCAAATATGCTTTGTGAAATAAGAAGGCCTGTAGAGATGGGGGGATTGTTATTATTTCAGTGAGACATTTGTTATCCATGAAATAAAAGTGAGATGCAAAGTGAGACGCAAAGCCGAGGTAACTAAAATGCCAGGTTCCACAGCGGTTCAGGAGCCTGCCGTGCATTCTGTTCTGCCTCTGCTTCCTCCTCCTCCTCCTCCTCCTCTTCTCTCCCCACCCCCACCTTATTTCATCATTTCCTTTCCTTTTTCTTTTCATCCAAATAATTTGCAAAACATCCCATTTCTCTTATCAGGGTTCCTGCCCCTGCCATAAAGCCAGAGCATCTGGTGTGCACACTCCTGTTCCAGCACACAGCCCTCCCAGGGTGGAGGAGGGGGGAACCTTACAGTTTAGATTTTCTTTTAGACATTAAAGGGGAAAATTCTTTTTCTTTTCTTTTCTTTTTTTTTTTAAGTATAGAATTCTTTCCCCTTTTAAAGTCACAAATGCTTAGCAGAAAAAAATATTTTACCTGGTTTTTTTTTTTTTTTTTAATTTTGCTTCCAACTTTCAAAACAGCAGAAGATCTGTTCTATTTTGGCCAAAAAAGAAAGTGACAATAAATGTAATTTACTTGCCCATATGAAGATAAACAGGTAATGATGATAGTTGGCCACTGTTCTTTCTCTGCTCTAATAGGTTTATTTGTTTCTTTATTATTGTTTGTTTTTATTTCTTTATTTTCCTTCAAGTAATCTTTGTGTTTCTTGTCCCTAGCTAAACAATTTGAAGATGTTTGAAGAAAAACTTATAAGTTCTCTTCCCCCATTTCCATTTCCATTTATCTGCGATAGCCAGTGATGGTAGTTTGTTTGGTGTGTATCTTTCCATAACTTTCCCAAGCTCCTTTTTAAATAGACATAGGGTTTGAGTGTATATGTGGCAATTTGTTTTGTCAGAAGTGGGATCATACTTGGTTCATTACTTTGTAACTTATTTTTCACACTAAATAATAATAATCGTTCACTCTTTAAATAGCTTTAGGCTATAGAAGGAAGAGTACACTACAGTATATTCAACCATTTCTTTTTTGACAGATATTTATGTTCCTGGCTGCTGTGGTCTGGATGTGCTCTGTCTTGCCAGAACTCGTGTTGAAATCTGTTTGCCAGTGGAACTTTTCAGAGGAATTAATGTCTTTCCCCAGAGGCTGGGTTCTCATGGGAATTGATTTTTTCTTTTTAGAGCAGGTTGTAATAAAGCAGGTCAGCTCCTTTGTCCCCTCCTTGTCTTCTGCATATCCTATCCCCTTCTGCTCTCTACCATGAGGCCCTGACTAGAAACCAAGAAGACTCAGAACTGTGTGCCAAATCAAACCTCTTACCTTTATAAATTATTCAGTCTCAGGAATTCTGTTATAGCAGGAGAAAACAGACTAAGACACTGTTTTTGCCACTAAAAAATATTGTTGTATTAAATATCTTTTTTCCTAAAGAATTTAATCATTATTTTATTTATTTAATTAATTTTTTTTATGTGGTACTGAGGATTGAACCCAGGGCCTCACATGTGCTAGGCAAGTGCTCTACCACTGAACCACAACCCCAGCCCTAAATATCTTTATATTCATGTCGTACTTATTGATAATTTTATTTCTAAAGATTGCATTTTTTAAAACTAGTATTATTTGACATTGAATAGATAATACCATCCTACTTTGTAAAGAGTCATGGTAATTTATATTCTCTAGTATATGAGTTTCCTAAATCTTTACCAATGTTAAATGCTCTCTTCCTTCTTCCTTCCAGTTTCTTCCTTCTACTCTCTCTCCCTCTCCCTCTATCTCTGTTGTTTTATTTTATGGCAAGGCTAATGGGGGGAAATGGTGTCCCATAGTTGCTTATCGTCTAGTGAGGTTGAACGTTGTTTCACATTAATTGACTGCTTCATCTTTCTCTTCTGTGAATTCCCTTCACCTGTTTGTATGAATTATTTGCCTTTTTCTCAATAACTTGTAAAATTGCTTTATATATTTGTTCATTAATGATGATGCCATTGTGCCACAGATATTTTTAACTGATCATTTGCATATTTTATTATAAAGGATTGAATTTTTATTATAAAATATGTGAGCTTTATGTTTTTCTCTTCATGGTATCTGCCTGTTTAGGAAAAACTTTTCAACCTCAAAGTTAAATAAGTATTATTCTCTGTATTCTAATGCCTTCATCATTATAATTAATTTAATCCAGAACTTTTAGTCTTTTTGGAATTTGTGTTTATATAGTAAGAGGAAGTGGTCCCGCTTGTTCTAGTTATGCCAGCACCATTTCTTAAATAAATCATCTTTTCTCTTTTGCATTAAAATTTCATGATTTTTATAAATAAGTTTCTTTATTTACTTGTATCTATTTCTGGACCTGTTTTTCTAGTTCACACATCTGTTTGTCTATACTTATATTAATATATAATCTCGTATTCTAATGTCTTTATAATAAATTTCTACTGTCTCAGAAGACAAATCCTCCATTTTTCTTGACTATTTCTTGGCCAGTCTTCTGAGATCCTTATTTTTCCATATGAACTTTAATGTTACCATCCCCAAAATGTATTGATATTCTGACTGAAATCTAATAAAAATGATGTAGTCATTTGGAAAAGATTGACATTTTTTCATAATTAGTCTTTTCCATTTTTTCCTATTCTGGGCTCAAATCCAGAGCCTTGCACATGCTAGTAAGTGTTCTTCCACTGTCACATCTCTAGCCTGATAATTACCTTTTCTAGACAAGAATTTTCTACTGACTTGGCACCTATGCATTCTATTTCTGTTTTTTGTTTTTATCTTTAAATTTTTAATATTTATTATTAGATTAATTTATCTAAAGTAAAATAATATTTCTATGTTTATCCTGAATCATTAGGAACTTTAAATCCCAGTGACTCAGGGATTAGAGGCATACACCACCATGCCTGGCTGTTTATTTTAAAACTTTAAAAAAATTTTTTTTTTAGTTGTGATTGACCTTTATTTATTTACTTATTTGTGGTGCTGAGAATCAAACCCAGTGCCTCACACATGCCAGGCAAGCACTCTACCAACTGAGCCACAACCCCATTCCCTATTTTAAAACTTAAAGTATAAAGTGTGTATACTTTTAAAAATGTGAATATACACAAATGCTTCACTTTTCCTAAACATAATAATCATTTATATTTTTATTAAAAAGCAGTAATACATGCAATTTTATAATATACTTTTTTTAAATATTAATTTTTTTAGTTGGACACAATACCTTTATTCCATTCATTTATTTTTATGTGGTACTGAGGAATGAACCCAAGGCCCTGCGCGTGCTAGGCGAGTACTCTCCTGCTAAGCCACAATCCCAGCCCTTACAATATCTTTTCAACAATCAAGCATGAACATCTTTCCATGTCAATACAGTGAAATCTTTCTCCTTTGAAATAGTTGTATGGTTTCTTATTGTACTGCAATTAACTGCAATTTAACTTTCTTTGTTAACAACTGTCTAAGTCATTTCACCTGTTGTTTGCTACTACAAATATGTTTTGCTGAATTCCTTTAGAGTCTTCTGACTATATCTATGGTATATCCTGGACATTTGGCTGTCTCAGAGGATGTGCATATTTAATATGTAAATCAATAATGCGAACTTGTCCTCCCAGAAAGATTATTTCAGTTTACAGCTCAGAGTGTGTCTGGATCTAATCTCTCCTTTTCTTTTGGTTCTTTAGATTTTTCACACTGATTAACCGAGAGTGGAACATCTGAAGAGATGCAAGCAAGAAAAAGAAATTAAACCAGGTGGGTAGTCACGCTGTTCTTGCCACTCTACCATAGCTTCACAATTTTTGCCTGAATGCCTTTTTTCTTTTTCAAGAAAGAAAACAAATAGGTTTCAAATGAAATTAGAGAAGAATTTTGGTCTCACGAAGAAAAGGCAGGATGGCTCTTTTCAGAAGTTATATAACATCATGCTGCAATTTCACAGGCATGGTTCCATTTACAGGCAGTTTCTTTATAGCATCAGAAAGACTACCTCTGGTGGCCTGATGGGTTTCTTCAGCCATGTACATGAGCAGATGGAGTCATACACAAGAGTTATGAGCAACTTTGGGTGTGACACCAGATTTTTTCTCTACCTAATATTTGTTATAAAGCTATTTTTACAAAGACCAGGACAAATAATAGGAATTTTCATTGTAAGGCTGTGTTAGAGGAATCAAAGCAACAAAACCCAGCCCAAAGAAATGAGCACGACCCAGCAGTATGGTGAGAAGGGATGGGGCAGGTCCTTTCCATGTGGAAACAGTTCCATCTGGAGCAGTTCATCCAGCCTGCCAGGAAGTATGGCCACCTTGGGTCAGTGTTCATAGTTTTATGCTATCTAAATGCTCTGGCATAAGTTAATAATTTTAAATCCAAGGTAACATGATAGCTAGCTTTTCATCTAAAGCACTTCTGTGAATCTGGTAAATCTCTGCCTTGTCATGTTGGGAGTACAGGGTCCAGGGTCCACGGAGGTCTTCTCACCCACCCAGGCATTCATGGATGTAACCATTAAGGATATCAGAACCAAAGGCCACACAGCTAGCCTACACCTGCCTGGGTCTTTTCCATAGCTAGAATCGTCACAATTATGCCAGCAAGCCTGGGGATGAGTTTTTCTCTGAAGAGCTTGTCAGACCCATTGCGCTTTTGTGCCTAAATTAAGGAGTGTGTGTGGAGAGCGGACTTGACGTTTTCTGTCTTCAGCACTGGGTCAGAACAGTTAAGCTCTATCTGGTGTGCAGTTTGGTGTAGATTCCTGCTGTGGCCTAGAGAAGTGCTTCTCATTTGTGCATTTATTCAGCAGTGTTTATAGAGCATCTCCTGGGAACCGGACTCTGCAAACCAGAGCAAAGTGGCAGACACAGTCTTTACCCATGAAGCTAATGGTCAGTAGATGAGTGACAGTTGCCTAGGTGCAGAGGGGACTGAGGCCAAAAGGCATGCTAGAGATGGCCTGGATTGGAGTGGGCCAGAGCAAGGCTGCGGGCCTAGTGGCAGCATGGGAACAGCCTGGGGGCTGGAAAGGGCACACGCTCCCCAGGAACCACACGTGCTTCTCGGGGCTTCACAGTGCAGAACAGAGGCCATGGCTAGAGTTGAGTATTCAGGTGGCTACGAATGAGTCTGGGCTTTATCTTGACAGCTCTAAGTGTGAAAGTCACTGGATATTTTTAGAGGAGAGAGGTGTGAGTGAGTAGGGCTTAGAAAGGAAACTCTCTGGGTAATAGGCTAAGTGGAGTCCCAGCCTCTTCCCTGACTACTCTCCTTACCTCTCTTCTCAGTGCCTCTGTCACTCCTTTTCTTGGACCTTCAAGAAGGCAAAGATCAGGGCCTGAGAGCAGATAGTGTCCTTGCAGATGAGCAAGGGGGTGATGGTAGGTGGGTGGGGAGAGGCATCCAATCTAAAGCAAAGATTACTGGTGGCCTTGGACAGTCATTTCACCGTGTGAGCATCATCTGTTGAAGAGCAGAGGAAGTATTACCTCCTCCTCTTGCCTTTTATAGTAGTTACTTTACATGTCCAACTGGGGCTTCCAGAGGAATCTCTCTGCCTTTCTTGCCATGAAATTATTTGTTGAAACTCTCAAGAAGATACTGGGGTCCTATAGCTGTAACTTTGTCCTGTGACAAGGTGATGAGGAAGCCTTGGCCTTGAATCAGTACACAGCTCTTCCTCCCTACAACCTGCAGTGATCAGACTGCAGGTGGGAGGAAGGAAACATTGACTGAGGATCAGGTGTATACTCAGCCACACTCACAGGCAGAAGAGCTTCTAGAACTACTATTTGTTTAAACCATATGCCAAATATTATGATAAATACTTAAATACTTTAAAATCTCCTTTAGGGCTGGGGATGTGGCTCAAGCGGTAGCGAGCTCGCCTGGCATGCGTGCGGCCCGGGTTCTATCCTCAGCACCACATACAAACAAAGATGATGTGTCCGCCGAAAACTAAAAAAAATAAATAAATATTAAAAAAATTCTCTAAAAAAATCCTGTGCTCTGACCCCTGTGCATAGAGCTTACTATTCTGCTGGCCTCCTGCAGACCTTTCAGACATTGTGGAGGCCACAGAGAAATGGGGGACAGCTCCTCTGTTCTCTTCCAAAACTTGAAAATTCTGTGCAGGGCCACTGGCCACTACTGATCTGGAACAGTTATGGAGCCAGCATGTCCATGTAGCATTTCTGCAGTCAGCCCTTTTCTCCAAGTGCATTAAATAAAGGAGCTACCTTCCCACCTGTGGGCAAACTGCCTGGCAGCAAGGAATGGGCTTGCTCATGTCCCTGGTCATTTTTCTTCTCACCTGAGCAGAGAGAGTAGGCCATGCACACAGGGGAAGCCTGTTGAGAGTCCCTCCCTGAGCCTGCTGCCACCTGTTCTAACCTGGCCTGCACATGAGGGTGCTCCTCATCTCCCCGAGGAGCCAGGGCCATGAGGACGGCTCCTTTGAGAGGAGCTAGTGAAACGAGTGGAGAGAGCGGAGGTGAGAACCTGCTGGACTGAACATTCTTCCCAGGCCCATATCTTGAAAGGACTGAGACTGTGTTCACAGCAAGCCATTAAAGAATCTTCCCAGTAGAATCAATGTGATCAGAATGTCTGTGTTACCCATGGCAGTCTACAGATTTAACGTAATCCCTATCAAAATTCCAGTGGCATTTTTCGCAGAAGTAGAAAACAAAATTCATATGGAACCATAATAGACACTGAATAACAAAATAGTCTTGAGCAAGACGAGCAAAGTTGGAGGCATTCTGATTTTAAATTAGGGTGATAAGGAAACTAGTAATCAAAATAATGTGGTATCAGCATAAAAACAAACATACAATCCAATGGAACAGAATAGAAAGTTCAGAAATAAACTCATGCATGAACAATCAACGAAATATTTGACAAAGGTGTCAAAAATACACAATGGGAGAAAGGAAAGTCCCTTCAATAATTGAGAATACTGGATATCCACACACAAAAAAACCCACATTAAATCCTGATCTTACGCCATACACAAAAAATTAACTGAAAATGAATTCGAATTTTAAATTTAAGATCTGGAACCATAAAATTCCTAGGAGAAAACATAGGGGAAATCTCCATGGCCTTGTTTTAACTATGATTTTTTGGACATGACACCAAAAGCACAGGAAAAAAAAAAATCAAAAAAAGCAAGTGTGACTCCACCAAACTGGAAAGTTTTTATGTAGGAAAGGAAATGATCAAGAAAATGAAGGGCAACTGGACTGAAAAAAAATATTTGCCAACAATATATCCAAATGTGTTTAATATCCAAATATATATAAGGAACTTATATAATTCAATGGCAAAAGTAACTCAGTTAAAAAATGGGAAAGGACTTAAGTAAATGTTTTTCAAAGGAAAACAGCAGGTATATGAAGAGGCACATCACTAATCATCAGGGAAATGCAAACTAAAAGTACAGTGAGGCGTCACCTCATACCTACTAGAGACTGTTATCTTTAAAACATCAAAAGCTAGGCTATGAGTGAGTGGTGGTGCATGCCTATAATCCCAGCAGCTCAGGAGGCTGCTGAGGCAGGAGGATTGCAAATTCAAAGCCAGCCTTAGCAATTTAGCAAGGCCCTAATTAACACAGTAAGACCCTGTCTCTAAATGAAATACAAAAAAGAGCTGGGGAGGTGGCTCAGTGGTTGAGTGTTCCTGGGTTTAATCCCCATACCCCCCCCACCCCCTGAAAAAAAGTCAAAAGCTAAATATTGAGGAGGAAAGAGGAAAGGGCACACATATACATTGTTAGTGGAAATGTAAATGAATACAGCCATCATGGAAAACAGGATTGAGTTTCCTTGAAAAATTAAAATTTCAACCTGTGATTTACAAATTCTACTTCTAGGTATTTATCTAAAGGAAATAAAAATCACTGTCTTAAAGCCATATCACTGTGGATACAGCCCAGTGGTGGAGCACTTGCCCAGCATTTGTGAGACTCTGGGTTCAATCCCAGCACTACCATAAAGAAAAACAAAACAAAACACTGAAGAGACACCTGCACTCCCATTTCACTGCAGTGTCACTCACAATAATCAGAATGTGGAAACTACATTCTAAGTGTCCATCAACAGATGAATGGTCATAGAAAATGTTGTTTTTAAAAAGAAGGAAACCTTGCCATTTGTACCAACATGGATGGACATGGAGGGCATTATCCTAATGAAATAAGCTAGAAAGAGAAATACTGCATGATTTCATTTCTATGTAGAATCCAAAGAAGACACTCATAGAAACAGAGGTAGAAGGGTAGTTCCAGGGGCTGGGTAAGGGTGAGATGGATGATAGTGGTCAAAATGTCAAACTTGGGGCCAGGGTTGTGGTTCAGTGGTAGAGTGCTTGCCTAGCATGCCTGAGGCACTGGGTTTTATCGTGGCATCACATAAAAATAAACATATAAAATAAAGGTATTGTGTCCATCTACAACTAAAAATTTATTTTTAAAAAATGTTTAAACTTGCAGTTATAAGATGAGTGAATTCTGGATACCTAATATGCAGTGTGGTAACCATAGTTAATAATAATATATTGTGGGGCTGGGGTTGTGGCTCAGTGGTAGAGTGCTCGCCTACCATACATGAGGCACTGGGTTCCATCCTCAGCACCACATAAATGTAAAATAAAGATGTTGTGTCCATCTAAAACTTAAGAATAAATATTTAAAATATAATAACATATTGTGTACTTGATATTTGCTGAAAGTATAGATCTTAAGTATTCTCACATTAAAAAAAGGTAGATGTGAGATGATAGATATGGTAATTTAACTTGATTGTGGTAATCATTTCACAGTGTATACACATATCAAAACATCGTGCTTTGAATATATAGAATTTTTACTTGTAAATTATAACTTAATAAAGCTGAAAAAAATTTAAAAATCTGCCTGATTCACTGGAAGCCATTAATCAAACCCTGAACTGTTGTGTCAGCCCAAAGGATACGGTTATTCTTTTAGCATGTAAATAAGTGCTAAGTGCTCTTATGCCAAACCCAGGGCTGGACTTTTACATGCAGTGTCTAAATAAGTAAAGTAGAAAAGGAAGGCTCTTGGAAATGACATCATTTGGCCAAACAAAGCTGGAAAGGGGCACAACCAAGTTTTCATTCTAGTCTGTTTTTTTTTTTTTAGCTTCACAACTTTTATTTTTTCAACAACACCCAAGGTACTTCTCAAGGTACTACCACCTTTTATTGGGCATCTTTTCTGAGCCAGGTGTTGTTGTTGTTGTTATTATTATTATTTTAACTGTAGATGAACACAGTATTTTATTTACTTTTGTGTGGTGTTGAGGATTGAACCCAGTGCCTCACACATGGGAGGCAAGCACTCTGCCACTGAGCTACAACCCCAGCCCAGCGTTATGTATTTATTATTTCAAATTCTGTTACAACCTTGCATAGAAGTATTCTTCCCATTCCACAGATGAAGAACTTGAGGTTCTTCATCTGTGGAATCTTGCTTTAACTAAGTAATGAAGCCTGGATTTCCACTCTCTCATGAGACAAGAATGGGCTTTCAATTCTTCCTCTCTACTTCCTCTATTCCATACTTCTCCAGGTTCTTAGAAGAAAATTTCTCAAAAAAAAAAAAAAAAAAAGGCAGTATTTTCTTCAATCTCACAAAAGCCCCTTGAGATGAGGATTACTGGTAACTGTTTTACAAATGAAGAAACCAAGCCCCAGACAGTTTCAATGGTTTGCTCAGCATCACCTAGTCAGTAACTGATGGAGCCCCCCGTGCAGGCACCCTCTGATTCACAGTTCGCTGTGCTCCCACACCCTCTCAGCACCACCTCCTTGCAGTTGGGGTAGAATCTCCAGCCTTATTTCTCTCTCTAGTAGTCCCAGGATGTGGAAGGCATTTTCAGCTCTTGAATTTCCCTCTTCTGGTCTACCCTGCCTCCGGCCCCTCTGCTAAAATTCCTCTCCTCTGTTGGCAGAGCAAGGTCTCACTGGCAGGAAGCTGCCTTGAGGTTGGAACTCTCCTGCTGCTTATCAGTAAAGCCTTTGGGCCTTGCCCTATGGTAGCTTCCCAAGCCACCAGGCTCACATGCTGTTCTGACTCAGGGCCCCTGGGAATCCCCTGGATGCAGATGTTCACGGTGACTAGGATGCAGCCATCAGCTCTAGGACTGTTTTTCTGGCCAAGGCCAGTGTAGGAGGGCAAACCTGTTCCAGCTTTTGTGGGAGAGTGCGCGCTGGTCATGTGTGGCCTAGAACTGGGGTTTTAAGCAGAGGTTTATGGGTAAGCATTAAGGATTCAAGGGCTCCCTGTAATTATGGGCACAGCTTTGTATATACATATATATATTTTCTAGGCGAAGTGTCCCTAACTTTTCTCAGATTCTCCAATATGCCTGTAACCTCTGACTTTTCAGAATCAGAGAGAACCCAAGTGTCGTAGGCTACTATGTCCTCTTGCACACTAGCCTCCCAGATGCTGGGCTCTTGGGAGACCACACAAGGCCTATGGATCTTTCTGTTTAGTGGTGAACTGAGATAAATTACCTAATATTATTGAAGCTTACAGTAGTCTCATGGGATGTCCCATGGGATGTCCCAGAGTCCAGCCATGAAATTGTACCATGCAGCCCGTTTCATCTACCTGAACATATGAGCTTTCTGGTTTTCTCCAGAGGGGCTGCCTCCTTCGCCAGCCCCTAAACCCCACTGGCCCCAGTCCTAGGCAGCGAGAGTGGTGCTGAGAGCTGCAAGCCAGCATGGCTTGCTCTGCCAGGCCCCACTCAGCGCCCTGTGCATGCTGTCTCTTTTAATCCTCATGTGCCCCTGTATGCCCGAGGCTGTTATTTTACACATGGGGAAACTGAGGCATGGAGAGCTTGAGTGACTCTCCAGAGATCACACAGCCACTGAGTCATTCAGTGATGTCTGGCTGAAGCACAGGAGCTTAACTTCCAAGCTTTGGGATGAAAGTCAAGGGCAATTTTAAGAAAAACTAAAGCAGAAAAAGTATGGAGTTGGCTGGTATAGGGCATACAGCCCTGTATTGTGACACCAAGAACATTGCCTGGTGTCACAGTTGGCACAAAAATTCATGTGGTGAAATCACTGAGTGGGTAATACATTAACACACCCAGTGCAGGACATGAGAAGAACGTTTCTCCATTGCCCCTCAGGGAAGCATTTCTTACAGCTTTATTGAGGTAGAACTCATGTTGCAGTTCAGTGGCTTCACTGTGTTCAGACGGTGCTGCGGTCATTGTCACAGTTGACTTCAGCATGTTCTCCTCACCCACAAAGAAACCCGCCTCCTTCGCCAGCCCCTAAACCCCACCAGCCCCAGTCCTAGGCAGCCACCAGTCCACTGTCTGTCTCTAGATGAGGCTTTGATACCCACAGGAGTGATGGGTGGGAATCTTGGTGCTCAAGTGCCTCGTTCCCCAGGGCATAATTAGACAAATGGAATTTGACTCTAATGTATTTTATAAATGGATTTATTAGCCAAGAAACTATAAGCGTGTCTCTGATATGCCTTAATTTGGGGTTGACACAGGCAGGAGGCAAGTTTTTTTCAGAGTAATTTCTACTTGTTAACGTCTCCCGTCAAGCTGGCTCTGCTCAGCGAGCAGCCGTAAGGTGATGCCAGTTTTGTCGGGCCACCTTTTTGCACTGGCATCAGAACCAGTGGTGGTTCAGCACAGGCTCTTCTTTCTGTCATCTGAATCCCTGGCTCGGGTTCTTGCCCTGTGTTGATGTGAAGGGCACCCGCCCAACACTCTTTGAAATTCAGGCAACAGCACAGGGAGGATCCTGTGAGGCACCCGGGGGACATGAAACTGCACCCTCTCTTGAGCCCTTTCACGTTGGCAGACCCACTGTATGTTCACCTGGCTCATTGATTTTTTTTGTTCTTTTAGAAAACACTTCATGGGCACTACACACCGAGCAGCATGCGAGGTGCTCGAGAGGCGCTCTGAAAGCTCATCTTCCAAGTAGTTAAGGTCAGAATAGCCAAGATGAGAAAAGCCACAGCGGGAGAGATTTGGTAACAAGACAATCCTCTGACAAAGATGCGACAGAGGCAGTGTCATCCACTTCAGGGCAAAGCTATTGCCAGAACACACCACCCTAAAGAATGGATAGTGAATTAGGATTGAGGAAATGCAAGTTCAAATCTTGATTCAAGCATTAACCAATTAGAGGATTGTGGGTGGTCCACACCATCTTCTGAGCCCTGGACTCTCCACTTTGAGGATTAAATAATGCAGTGCCTCTAAAAAGTACCTTCAAGGTCATGGCTGAAAACAGTACCTACTTAGTAAAGTGGAAAGAATGACTGACAGAATGAAGGAAAGGTTTGTAATTTTCAGTGGTAGAGCATAACTCTAGCAGGCCAGCCTACTAGACCTTCACTTTTTTTCCCAGTCAGGACCTTCCTGCCACTTCAGCCACTTTGAGCTCACCTTTTTCAAGGGCTTCCACTTCCTCTGATTGTACCGAGAGAGTATTGCCTTGGGGGCCTTGGGCCTAGTAGCCAGCCACTCCTTCACTTTGAATCCAGGTTCCAGTTCATTCTACCTAGGTATAAAGTGGGTCTAATTCTACAAGGCCACTGTGAAACTTAAATAAGGTGATACATGAAAAGCATTTGTCACTATATATATCAATTTATCACCATGTATATATCAATCGTATAAATGAAGCCATTTCTACTTAATTTGTTTTTCTAAAATTTTAAATAATTTATAGTAATTATTTTATTACTGTCATTGCTATTTGTATGGTCAGGAGCCAGAACTCAGTTTTTTTTTTTTTTTCTTTTCGGGGCGTGTGTGTGTTTTGTTTTCTTGTAGTGCTGAGGATCAAACCCAGGGCCTCATTCATGTTAGGCAAATAAATGCTCTACCACTGAGCTACACCCCTGGCCCTCAGATGGTTATTTTATTCATTGAGAGAGTGCCATAGTTGTTAAATTCTTATTTTCTTGGCCAGTTTGTTATTCATTAATCCATTCATAGACTTATTTCTGTTGAACTAGGAGAACCGTTGCCTGGCAGTTCCATGAAGACTCAGTATCAGGAGGGTGGTGGCTGAACCAAGGACTCAGGAATCTTATGTAAACTGTGTTAACGTGGGCCAAAGGTGCAGTGACGTCTCTGGTCTGCTTGAGTAGTAACAGTTCTTGACTTGCAAACATTGCTATTCCAAAATCCAAGGGAGGTGATTATTTAATTATTTGCTGATATGGTGTTTTTAGGATTCTGAACCTTACTTCTGCCTGGAAGTAGAAAGAAAAGGAGAATTTGGGTTCTTCTTCAACTTAACAGAAAGATCCCAACCCTTTCTGGCATTGCCCTTGAGCACACAATGTTTGTGCCTATGAGACCCCCTCACTGACTCTGAGGTGTCACGCACTTTACACTAGAGAGCAGCCTCTGAGAATTGGCAATGGAAGGGAAGCATTGAAGGATTCCGTTGGAAATGTCAGTGAGGGTAAATCAAAATGAGAGCAAAATCCGGAGTGTGCCCTTGTTCTCCAGGTCCCCGAAAGATCCCCAGTCGTGGTCAGTCCTCTCACTCTCTCTCCTGCTCACTGCTCCCCAGTCCTGTGGCCTCCTTGTTCACCTTATGAATGCCAGGCATGCCCTGCATGGCTCCCCACTCACTTCCTTCAGGTCCCTGCACCAGTGTCACCATGATCTATTAGAGAGACTCTCTGTCCTCAGTGGAAAATCTCACTCTCCTGCCTTATCCTCTGTTTTAGTCATCTTTTCATCACTCACCAAAAGACTTGACAAGAACAGTGTAGAAGTGGAAAAGTTTTTTGGCTCACTGTTTCAGAAGTCTCGGTCCATAGATGGCTGATAACTCCGGGCCTGAGGTGATGCAGAACATCGTGGCAGAAGGACATGGTGAAGGAAAGCAGCTCAGGACATGGCAATCAGGAAGCAGTGAGAGAGCTCCACTCACCAGTGACAAAATAAAACCCTAAAGACATGCCTCCAGTGATCTAGCTCCTCTGGCCACACCCTACCTGACTATAGTTATCACCTAATTAATCCATGTTAGTGGATCAGTCCATTGATTAAGTTACAACTTTCATAATCTAATAATTTCACCTCTGAAAATTCTTGCTTTGTCTCATACATGAGCTTTTTGGGGAAACCACATATCCAAATCATAATATTCCACCCCTGCTCCCCAAAAGCTCATGCCTATCTCACAATTCAAAATACAAATCTCATTCATTTCCAGGAGTCCCCACAATCTTTAACACTTCCAGTATTACCCAGAAATCCAAGTGCAGAGTCTCCAGGGACTCAAGGCAAACTCTAAGCAAGAGTCCCTGTAAAAATCAAAAGCAAGTTACATATATTGGCACAGAGTAAACATTTCCATTCCACCAGTGTGGCCCCACCCAATGTCCTTGCTGTTTGTAGCCCATGTGACCTCTCTCTTTGCTTGTTTCCTGCTCAATTTCTTGCAGTTTTCCTCAATTAACATCCGATGGTACTGGCATCTCTTAATCTCAGGGGTCTCCATTGCAGCTTCAGCTTCCTTTCACATGTATTACCCTCTCAGGTGCTGCCCACAGGGACTCCTACACTGCTCTACTTTGCCTGGCCTTCCAGGCCTTCCTTTGAAATCTCAGCGGAAGCCTCCATGATCACCTAAATACAGCATTCTGCATTCCTGCAGGACCAGCATCATGTGGTTGGCACCAAGGTCTGCCACCATCTCAAGCAGTAGCCAAGCCTCCTGGAACCATGGCTGCAGCAGCCCCTGAATGCCTGGGCGGCTGGGCGTGGTGAGACAACTTCCCAGGCCCCCTTGTGCAGGCAGGGTGCCCTGCTGTCTCTTCTCAAGTTACTTTTACATTCTTGAGCCTAAGATGGGTATGGTCTTGCTGATTCCTGAGATGCCCTTTTGCTTTCCTTTTTTCTTTAGTGACTGAGATCTCTTTAACAACCACAGCTTTTTAGCCACAGTTTATACTGTTTTGGGAACCCAGGGATACTTTACCACTGAGCTAAATACCTAGCCCTTTTTATTTTTTATTTTTATCTTGAGATAAGTTCTCACTAATTTGCTTATTAGGGCCTCGCCAAGTTGCTGAGGCTTTTCTTGAACTTGCATTCCTCCTGCCTCAGCTCCCCAAGTTGGTGGGATTATAAATGTGTGCCACCGCTCCTGGCTTTACATGCACTTTTTTGGCCAAACTGCAAGTTTTCAGATCTTTCTGCCCTGCTTTCTACTCTTGATTTTCACAGTAAACTTAGCTAAAAGCTCTGCCACTGTGTGAATTCTGTGCTGCCTTGAAATTTTTTTCTGCCAGAACAATTTCTCTATCACCTTTAAATTCAACCTCACATGAAGTCTCAGGACACAGATAAAATGTGGACAGTTTTGTTTTTTTTTTTTTGCTAGAATGTAATATGAAAAGCCGCCAGTCCAATTTCCAGTAGAGTCCTCCTTCTCTTCTGAAACCTCATGAGCTCAGTCTTTACCGTCCACAGTTCTCTCAGCCTTCTGGTCTTCTGAGCTTCCACCAGAATCTCCCCTTAAACTCCACTTACAACATTCTACAGTTTTTCCAGCTTACATCTCTAAACTTTTCAAAATTCCTCCCCCAAATTACAAAAAGCTCCAAAAGCTTCTGAACCACATGGTCAATTTAGTAATAGCAACAATCTCACTTCTCAGTGCCAGTTTCCGTTTTAGTCAGCTTTTTGTCGCTGTGATCAAAAGACCTGACAAGAATAGCATAGAGGAGGAAACATTTAGTTTGGTTTACAGTTTCAGAGGTCTCAGTCCATAGACAGCCAACTCCATAGCTCTGAGCACGAGGTGCTGCAGAACATCATGGCATAAGGGCATGGTGGAGAAAAGCAGCTCAGGACATAGCAATAAGGAAGCAGAGAGAGAACTTTGCTCAACAGATAACAAAAAATAAACCCCAATGGCATGCCCCCAGTGACCCAACTTCTCCAGCTTGCCATTACCACCAATTAATCCATATCAGTGTATTAATACATTGATTAGGTTAAAGCTCTCACAACCAATCATTTCACCTCTAAACTTTCTTGCATTGTCTCATACATGAACTTTTGGGGGGCATCTCATACCTAAACCATAACACCCCCCATAATACTCTTGCTGCCTAATATTTTGTTTGTTGGTTGGTATGAGTCACTCTGCCAGCATATGAACTTCATGAAGGTGGAGTATGTTTTGTTCACTGCCAAACAATTAATATAAAGGAAGAGAATTTTAATTCCTTAAAATTATGTGAATGCCTGCACCCTGGAGCCCCCATGTATGTTGTGTAGATGGATTCAATACCTTTATTTTATTTATTTCTTTAATGTGGTGCTGAGGATCGAACCCAGTGCCTCACACGTGCTAGGTAAGCACTCTACCACTGAGCTACAACCCCAGCCCTGATTTTTGAAGTTTTTAAAGATTTATATACAGTATACTGAAGTGGTCTTTCTCATCAGATCTGTGGGCTGTTACTCTCCCTTTAGTAATAGGCTGACAAGAGCAGTGATCCTGAGCTAGTGTTACACACACACACCCATCCCCACCTGTCATTGGGAGAATAACTGGAAGGAGTTACGTGTCCCATCACCACCACCTGTGAAGAGTTAAGGATTTTTGAGCTGATCTCCCTTGCTAGGCCGTGAACTTCTCTCAAGGACCTGGCTTTGTATCCATGGTGTCCTAAGCCTGGTACTGATTGAGTGATCAGTAAAATTTTGTTGAATGAATTAATATTATAGAAATAGTATCTGCTTTTCATTATCCACGGTATATTTAGGGGATGCTCTTTTATAGAATTCTAGAAAAATTAGAGAGGAAGCCCTGAGACAGAAGTAAATAGAGGTTGCTCTAGTTATCCACTGCTGCATAACACATTACCCCCATGGTATAAAACAATATCAGTAATTCATTCTCTCTCTCGGTCTCTGTGGATGAGGGGTTTGGCACAGATTGACTG